CTTTATTACTTTATTAGGTAACGAGTGTAGATCAAAGAATTTCAAATCAAATCACGTGAATTAAGAACAATTTTTATTACTTATTATTGCTCAAAGAATTTCAAATTATGAATCGTGTGAATCAAGAATAATTTTTTGTAGTCAAATCGAATTTTGAAGTAAATATTGATCTCGATAATGATATTCTTTTCAATTCTACGAACGTAAACAATGAAACGTTATAACGATGCATTTCTGTTTGTTTTTTAACATTCTGAAACAATCGTTATTTATTGATAAAATATCAATAAATTAAAGTTTAAAAGATACATAAAAAATTTTCGGAGATATGCAATTTGTATATCACGTGTATAACTTGATTTTTTTTTAATTAAAAACAAACAAAAACGTATTTTGTATGCAATATACCACCAAAAATAATTAAAAATCAGAACGTTTTATAGCTTTTGGACGAGATCGATCCATCTCGCCCATCTTGTTCAGGATTAGTCTATTCTATATTTAAAGCGTGAATTTTTACAAGTTATCGAATCGAACATGTTTTGACATATTTCAATGTATTTGGATCCAATCAATACGCATGCATTTAAATAAAATATATTAGAAATTTTATTTCGATATATTTTTTGAAAACTTTACAATTTGTTTCACGTTACAACGTAATTCAAAATTTTTTTATCAACCTTTGATTTCGATAATCCTCGTTAATATAGTAAAATTGTTGTCATTTAAATTATTATATATATCGAATAATTGCTAAATCCAGCTAGATTTGAAAATTTTTTCATGGAGAAAGTTAAGAAATTTTTAATTCGATCTCAAGTAAAAGAATATCCGGATATTGACAAGGATTAAGAAATGATACATCGATGTGTCGTTCGATCTCCGAATCTGCAATATTGGTGAAAGATTGGGATAAAAAGACACGATTCTGACGCATTCAGACGCAACTGAAAATCCTGAGCAATAATAATAAATTATAGAAAAGCGTAAAAGTTATAAATTTTAGCAAGAAAAGCACATGGATAACAGGAATGTTGATATTGGTTTAGTATAATCGTCTCGAGCTTATGCGAGCCGATTATAACGTTTTTTGTAAAAATATTAGTTCAAAGGATATTCTTTAACATTGAAGAAATAGATACAAGACGAAAAATAAATCTATAACCTTTCTGCTTTGATATTCTAATTTTTCAAAAAAAAAAAAAAAAAAAAAAAAAAAAAAAAAAA